GCCCGGGCCATCCTGGAAAACTACATCTCGGCCCTCAACACGCTGTGGCACCCCGAGTGCTTCGTGTGCCGGGTAAGGTGCCCCGGGCTGGGGGTGGGCCGCCCCCTGGGGGTTGCTGAGCGTCCCAGCGGGCACACATGGAGTGAGCAGGCATGGTGAGGCCTTCCACCCCCACTGCTGTCCAGTCCAGTCCACCCGACTCACAGTGACCTTGTGGGACAGGGCGGAACTGCTCCCTGGGTTTCTGCGGCTGGAATCTCCAAAGAAGCAGACAGTGTCCTCTTTCTCTGGTGGTTTTGAACCGCCCACCTTACCGTGCGGGGGGTGGGGTGGGGGGGCTGTCCCGGAGGTCCCACAAGAAGCTGTTTGGGATTCATCCTGGCTTCTCTGCTTGACTCCTGGGAGCCTCTCTCCCCAAGTGTGCATGTGCCTCTGAACATCGGGATCTAGGGTGCAGTGGCTGCCCACTGCCCATGGTCCAGCCCCCGGGCTGCCTGTCTGGATACAGAGGCCAGTGACAACAACGGCCACTGTAGTCAGTGGTTTCTGTGACCCCACCCCCACTCCCACGGCCGGGCATACAGTGGGCCTCAGTGCTGGTGACGAAGAGGCTCCTGTCCTGCACCTTGCAGCTGGAAGCCGCCCTGCCCTGCTGCCAGACCAGCGCCTGAGCCCCTTCCTTTCCTTTCCCTCCCCAGGAGTGCTTCACGCCCTTCATCAACGGCAGCTTCTTCGAGCACGACGGGCAGCCCTACTGCGAGGTGCACTACCACGAGCGGCGCGGCTCCCTCTGCTCCGGCTGCCAGAAGCCCATCACTGGCCGCTGCATCACGGCCATGGCCAAGAAGTTCCACCCCGAGCACTTCGTCTGCGCCTTCTGCCTCAAGCAGCTCAACAAGGGCACCTTCAAGGAGCAGAACGACAAGCCTTACTGTCAGAACTGCTTCCTCAAGCTCTTCTGCTAGGCCCTCCTCCTGCTCCCAGCCCCAGCCCCACCCGACCCCCGGCTGCTACTGTGACCCAGAGACCTGCTGGGGTGAAGGGCCAACCCTCCAGGAACTGGAACCCACGTTGTCGTCCTCAGCCGGTGTCCAAGGGGACTGACCGGGCCCACCTGCCTTCACCACAGCCTCTCTGGCCCCTTCCTCCACCCGGCCTACTGGCCATCGTCCCACGCGGCATGGGGGCGGAGGAAACCTCCCCAAGAACTGGCCTGGCAAGCCAGCCCCCCACACTGGAGTCATCTCTCACTCATATGGTTGCAGTGGAGCCGGGGAGGACAGGCGGGGTCAGATGGGGGGGGGTGTCTCATTTTATCCTCCCCCCGCTCCCAACCTAATAACCATCCTTGTTCTGAAAGTCCTGGGGGACACACAGCGCCCTCCAGATGATGCCAGCATCCATCCGTCCATCTATGGGCGGAGCAGCCAAGGGACCATGGCAGGTCCCTTGTCCTCCAGCTGCCCTGCAGTCTCCTGGACCTGGGTGATTGTCTCCCCCGAATCACCACCTATACCCCAACTCCCCCTTTTTACTTGTTCTGGTCCTACTGAGAAAGGCCTGCCCAGCAATAACATTTTGTAGTCACTCTGTCTCCAGGGATGGTGCAGCGGGGAGCTACACCAATGCTAGCCCCCAATGCTCCCTCCTCCTCCTGCCGTGCCCCGCGGGACACTGGACCGACTCTGCTAGGTTTCTACACTGAGGTTTCAATTCATAGCGTCCGCGTTGCTTTTACTTCTCTATACGGACTGATTTTGCGGATATTTTAAGGACATCCCCCTTTTATACTCCTCCGTGCCCACCACCAGCGGCCGCGCTTTGTACTGAGAGCTTGGGGCGGGTGAGCCATTTGTATTGGGTTTGTTTTTTTCTTAGCACAAAGCGGGTGGGAGCGCGCCGAGCTTCCCGTCTCCCCCTCACAGCTCAATGGGACTGTTTTCTAAACTGCTGTGTCTGAAAACCCTCTTCTTCCCTGTGCTCTGGCCAACCAGCTCTTCAGGCCAGCCGGCCTCCAGATTCAGAACCCTGCTTGTCCTGTTCCTGGGGGGAACACAAGGGGGACGACGTGACCTTTGGGGTGCTGTGCTCTATCTAAGCCATTGGAGATGCCACGCCCCTGGGAGCTCCCTGGAAACAGAGAACGTTCTCTGCCCCTTCACCACTCCTCTGCAGCCCACTCTTCAGGAAAGCTGGGCTCTGGTTTTGACCACAAAGAAGCCCTCTCTGGTTCTTGCTGAGTCCGCTGGTGGGCATCACTTGCCAGTGTCTGGCCCGTTTCCAGGTGGTCTCGTCACAGCGGGGGGCGGGACCTGGGGCAGAGGGACAGGGTCCTGGGCTGACACAGCTCTTCCCGAGGACGCAACAGGAGCAGGCTGGCCCTGGGGTCGCTGGTCAGCAGGAAGGGGCTTCAGAGGGGCCTGAAGAGATGAAGCGCCACCCACCCCACCGGTCTCACGGGCCGAGCACCCCGGGGTTCTAGAATCTCTAAAGACGGCCCTCCCCGGAGGCTGGGCTGGAGCTCAGCCCACAACCTCCACCACCACCCATAGGCCTTACTGATCTGTTTACAGTGACTCCCACCCCACCCCACCCCTCCCAAGAGGGACTGGGGTTTCTCGGGTCCGCCTTGGGAGGGGGGGATCAGTTGATTTTTTTCCTCCCTTTCCTATCAACTTCTAATCTGGCTTTCTGCCATTTCAATCCCTATGATTTCTGCCAATAAAATTTGCCATTATTTTCACCTGGGCTCCTGCCTCTTCTGTGTGATCCAAGATGACTGTCCTTTCCAAAGGTCCTCCCATAGTCCCCAGGGTCACAGGTTAGGGGGAAGCATGGAAATGACAAGCCAGAGGCATGGGGTAGCTGAGGCCTCCGTTCTTGGGCCTTGGGTCACACCTGAGCTTTGCATGTTCTTTAACATTTGGGGCTGAGTTGGGAGCAGCCTTTGGGGGACTCCTGGGGGTCAGAACATTTAGGGTATCGTCTGCCTCTCCCCAACCCACCCCCTCCCCATTGCACAAGGCTAAGGAGACCGGATTTTAACATTGGTAAAGCCGGACACCATTGATAAAACTCATATCCTGGTGAAATAGCCACATGGCAGCCGAAAGCCGTATACCCTAGCTTGTCATGCATTCTTTCCAAAAATCGGGACTTTTAAAAAACGCTGTGGGACGCAGGAAAAATTGTTAAAAAGCAGGACGTCTGGTCACCTTACACAAGGCAGTCCCCACTACGACCACTATTTTCCTGGGTTGAGCCAGACCACCCCCCTGAGTCTGACACACAGCGAGGTGGGCGTGCCCGGGCCATCCCAGCTGAAGGAATCAGACTGTAGAGGGCGAGCCTCGACCGCCCCCACGTGGTCACGTCCGTATTTGCATTCTTGCTGCTTTGCTCTGGGAGAACCAGGACCAGTGGGGCCTGGGAGCTGCTTTCTTCCCGCTCAGCATTGTCCCCTTGGGCTGTGGCGCCAGTTTCCCTGTTTGCCTTGGCCCTGGACAAGCAGCTGGTTGAGGTCCAGTCTATATCTTGCCCGTTTCCCAGTGAGCCTGGACTGGAAAGTTTACCTTCAGGTCTTCTCTGAGAGAATACCCCTTGGCTTCTTCCACCCGGCCCACCCACGGTGGATTTGTCCTATCTAGATTCTGTGCGTATGGGTATGCAGCATTGTGATCTGCCTTTTTTTCCCCCTCTCAACTGCGCTTTGTGGATAATTGTCCTTGTCAATAAATAAATAAATAGCTCCGTTGGTGTTTTAATGGCTTCATGGTATTCCACTATATCAATGTACCGTAATGAGAGAGGATATTTATATCGCCAGGGTCAGGGCGTCCTCGGGAGCACACCCTGTGAGTGTTTATATACCTGGGTGAGGGAGCCTTGAGGGAGATTCCCACAGGGTTGGCAGGGACAGCCTTTTGTATAGCGAGGCCCACAGGCTTTGAATTTGCTTCTGGATTTCAATTCTGAAACCATCTTTAACCACCCGGGGTGTGTGTGTGGGGTGTTGACTTGGGTAATGATTTCACTTCCTGGATGAATTTTTCTTGCCCCGTCTTGTAGAGGGGCCTTGCAAAGATTAACATCACACAGCGTTGGTGCTGTCAGTAACCAGGAATCTGAGCAGTCACCCCGCCCCCTCCTTCTCTGTCAGAGCTGGAATGCCTCTGGTTGTTGTCACCTGCTGTCCCTGCAGCATGAAGCTTTTTTTGGCTCTTCACTGTCCCCATAATGTGTTGAAGATCAGACTGTTTCTGTCCATGTTGGTTTTTGGTTGTTTTTTTTAATTGAAGTCGATCTCCGGACCTTGCTCCCTAGTCCATCTTAGTCTGGAAGTTCCCCTGAGGCCTGTGCACCAACCTAGCAACATGTCAGGCCTCCTCTGACAGACAGGTGTGGGCCGGGCTGTCCTTGAGGAGCATCGCTGGGGCTCAAACCTAGGTCTCCCATCTAGAAGGGACCATTCTACCTTTGCATCACCACCCAGCCCTCAGAGCCACTCTTGTTAGTTGCTGCCCAGTTGAATGGATTCCAACTCAGGGTGACCTGTTTCAAGACTGGGCTCTTACAGAAAGATCTTCTGAGGTGCCTGGGGGCTGAGTTTGAACAGCCAGCCTTTGGAAACCCTCCTCTAGATTCTGATCCTCTAAGCCTGGACTAGGACGTGGAAGTCTGTATTTTTATCAAGCTCCTAGGGTGCTTTTGAGGTGCCACTGGCTCTGAGAACCCTTCCTCCATACAGAGGCCAGAAAGGAAGACATCATGAGTCCAGCGCCTTTGAATGGAGCTGTTCTGCCTCACGGCCTTCTCAGGTGTGTCAGCGCGGAACTGTGTGCCACAGGGTTTTCAGTGACCGTTTTGTTTGTTTAGGAGTAGATGTACCAGGCTTTTTGTATTAGTCCGGGCAGACGAGGGAAACAAATCCAGGGAGAGTCCTAGGAAAGAGCTTTATATAAAAGAGTAATTGTACATGAAGAGAACATTCCAGCCCAGTCCAGGCCAAATCCATCAGTCCCAATATTAACCCATATGTCCAATACTAGTCCATAAATTCCTCTTCAGACTCGGGCAACACATGCAATGAGGCCCAACCCAGGAAGATCACAGGTCAGTGGGTGGAAAGTCTTGTGGATGCAGTGGCGGTGGAAACATCTCTGACTGGCATGGGTCTCCACATGGCTTCTCCAGCTCCAGGGCCCTGGCTGCCACCAGCATAGCTTCATGTAGCTTGTCAACAGGAATGTCTGGCTGGGAGACAAAGCAGAGAGTGTATCTCCCGCCTCCAGGAAGGAAGAAAGGAATTTCCAGTATCCTCAGGAGAAGGCCATACCCACCACACAGAGGCCTGATTGACAGGCTAGACTCCACCCCTCCTCAAATTGACTAGAGATTATGTAACCGCCCCACTTTTCTTCTGGGGCACCTCCAGATGGGATTTGAATTCAGCCAATCTAAGTTTTGTGCTAAATTCTAACATAATGATGGCTCATTTAATCTTCATCACACCTCTAGAATGGGTGAATACTATTACTTTCTTTATATTACAGATAGGGGAAGGCAAACCGATTTAGCAGGGTGAAAGCATTTCCTAAGATGACACAGCTAACAAGTGGCAGAGCAAGGGTATGGACTCATGTTTCCTGACTGCAAACCCTGCGTTCATTCCTTCGACAAACATTCACTACTTACTATATCTCCTCTATGCCAAGTCTCTGGCGCAAACAGTTTGTATTCAGCTATTGACCTAAAGGTAGAGTGGTACGGTGGAGGAAAGGCCTGGCAAGCTGCTTCCATAAAATCTGCAGTTCAGGAAACCCAATGGCGCAGTTCTGCTCGAATGCTTTGTCTCCGTGAGGTGGTATGACCTTCCTTTCTCTCTCTTCCTCCCTTCCTCCCCCGCTCCCTCCCTTCCTTCCTAGTGGGTGCCAGGCATAGAATTCTCTGCCTTTGTGTAGCTTGCGTTGTTGCAGGAAGAAAGCCTATATGTAAACTAATAAAAAAAATTCTGTAGTGTGTTGGGAGGTGGTAAGTGCTAGTGAAAAAAATAGAGCAAGATAACGGAGGCTGTCTTGAGGGTTTTGTAATTTCAGATGGGCCCACAACAGGTTTCTCTGCCAACTGTATGGAAGCACCTAACAGGCCTCATTGAGCAGGCAGGTGATGGACTAGTTGACACAGGTGAGTCAGGATAGCAGCCAAGGGCTATGAGAGGGGTTAATAGCTCGTGTGAAAAGTCCTAAAGTGGAAACATGCTTCTAAAAAACAGCAAAGAGGGTCGTCGTCTGCCAGAAACGTGGGAGGTGAGACTGCGAGGGTGGTGGGGACAGATTATGTAGAGCCTTTTTTTTTTCTTTTAAAATTTATTCTTAATTGGGTATGTAAAGCCTTTGAAAGGCGTTTAAATTTTGGGTTTTTACTGAAGGAAAAGAGGAAGCTTTGAACAGATGAAAGCAGGCTCCGCTTGTTTTTAAAACCAAACTGTAGGGGAGAGAAGGTAGACGTTTCTGTTCTAAACTATTATAGTAATTATACATTATTATTATTATTATTTTTTAATTATACATTATTTCTAACTACTCCTTGGTTCGCTCTTGCCTAGGTATCGGCGAACACGTGAACACTTAACCAGGTCCTGGCCAGCAGAGGGAAGCAACGTTTAGAAAGAGGCAGCAAACTTCTGCAGTACCTTCCTTACCGACTTTATAAAAGGCGGCTTCCTATTGGCTAGAATGGCAGCACTCTCACCTAATGGCTGTCTATATTACTTCCATGTCTAAGACGGATGGCGCCAACCAATAGGCGTGGGGAACACTGCCTGCGGCTTCTGATTGGCTGCTTGACTCGCATATAAAATGAGCGCTCCGGCGCGCCGGCCTTCTCTCGCCAGGCGTCCTCTCAGGGGTTAGTGTGATCGGGAGGCTCGCGCTTGTGTTGCTTGCGGGAATTACGGGTGTTTTTTCTGGCTCAAATGGGCGCCTTGGGTGCGGGAGTTGTCCGACCTGAGCTCTTCGGCTCCCCGAGCGATGGCGGCAGCCGCCTTTTGTGGGTCCGGCGAACCATCGCGCGTGGCCAGCCACGTACAGGCCTCGGGCCTGACCCGGGCCGGGCCTTGGTGGCGGGTGCCGGTGTGACCGTGAGCACGATCCGAGTCTGAGCTTCCTCTCTTCCCACAGTGACAACGTCTTTAAACCCCGCGTGGCAATCCCTGACGCACCGCCGTGATGCCCAGGGAAGACAGGGCGACCTGGAAGTCCAACTACTTCCTTAAAATAATCGTAAGTGCGGGCGGGGGCGGGCCCCGCAACGTGCTGCCTCAAGCCCGGCGCTAATGGGGACAGGATGTGCTGAGAGCCTGCTGGTGCCTACTACAGAAATCAGCTCTTTGGGCAAATCTCGTTTACTCTTCACATTTTGCCCTGGCTGGGTCCCCTAGTCTAGACCCATAGGTTCCAGCGGGTGAGGTGGTTTATAAAGAGTAGCGATTGCCCTCTGGTGCATCAGGCTTACTAGGTGGGATCCCTGCCTCAGTTTCATTCTGTAAAGTCGTCCAGGGCAGTGCGTGACTCATTTCTCTTGATTTATACTGTAGTGTAATCTTATAAAAGGCAAGTTGGTACCTGTTACAAGCCCCCAGTTCAAGGATTGTTGAATGAATGAGTTCTATTGGGTGGCCAGAGACATGGGCTCCTTTTCCTATCTTTTTAGTGGGGGAATTTTCAGATAACATAAACTTCCAGCAGATGTGAAGAGTAAATAACCAAATGCCTACCACCTAAGTCTTAATCTATTTCGAAGTCTTTGATTTCTGTTGAACTTTGGAGTGTTGTAAATCTAACTCTTTGCTTAACTTGCTGTATTTGGGCCATTTTTTTCCCCCTGTTAAAATTAGACATTTTAGTGTGTCATTGTGCCTCATGATTGGAAAAAAAAAAACATCTGTTCAAGGACACACCTTATGGTCCTCTTGATGGAATGTAGAAATCTAGTTTCCATCATTCATACCCAGTAACTTAGTTCAAAACTCAAAGCAAAACAACAACACACAAAGCAAAACCCACTGCTGTTGATTAAATTAGGACTTATAACAACCTGTGTCTGGTTTCTGGGGTTTGTAAATCTTTCTGGGAGCCTAAAGCCTCGTCTTTCTCTTTGAGCAGCTGGTAAGTCTAGTAGCTCTGAGGGGGGGATAGAATTGTCCCAGGTCAGTCCCTTAACAAGATGAAAGGGATTGAGATGGAAAGAATCATGAATGCATGGGTTTGTTTTCTCCTGACATTGTCCCCTCCTTTTTTCCTCCTGAGTGTGGTTTCCACCTTGTTCTTGTAGCAACTTTTGGATGATTATCCAAAATGCTTCATCGTGGGAGCAGACAATGTGGGCTCCAAGCAGATGCAGCAGATCCGCATGTCCCTCCGCGGGAAGGCCGTGGTCCTGATGGGCAAGAACACCATGATGCGCAAGGCCATCCGAGGGCACCTGGAGAACAACCCGGCTCTGGAAAAGTCAGTCTCTTCCCCCGCAAACTGCCCCCGGTCCTGGTGGGCCCGGTGTGCAGAAAGGTGACTTACGAGATTCTCTTTGCAGACTGTTGCCTCATATCCGAGGGAATGTGGGGTTTGTGTTCACCAAGGAGGACCTCACTGAGATCAGAGACATGCTGCTGGCCAACAAGGTATGGCTGACAGAAGGGACCCATCTGCTTTTGGCTCTTTAAAATAAAGTTGATCCTGACGGTCTGACTGTTGTCGTGGCTTGTTGCCTTTGTTCAGGTGCCAGCTGCCGCCCGTGCTGGTGCCATCGCCCCGTGTGAGGTGACAGTGCCAGCTCAGAACACGGGCCTGGGTCCCGAGAAGACCTCCTTCTTCCAGGCTTTGGGCATCACCACGAAGATCTCCAGAGGCACCATTGAAATCCTGGTGAGTAGACCTGGCTCACGAGTGTCAGACAGGTGGGGGCAGCCTTGTCTCTTGTTGTCTGTGACCTTGCTGGGTGCCCAGTGCTGACTGCCATGGCCTTTTCTCTGCAGAGTGACGTGCAGCTGATCAAGACTGGAGACAAAGTGGGTGCCAGCGAAGCCACCCTGCTGAACATGCTGAACATCTCCCCCTTCTCCTTTGGGCTGATCATCCAGCAGGTGTTTGACAATGGCAGCATCTACAACCCGGAAGTGCTTGACATCACAGAGGAAGCGCTGCACACCCGCTTCCTGGAGGTAACATGCTACACTTGCCAGCCCGCTTGGCCATCCCTCCTACCTAGTAGTTGAGAGCACAACTATCAGAGTAAAGGCCCGTCTGCTGTGTAACCCAAGCATTACTAAATCAGCCTATTGCATCAGTAAAGCCTGTGACATAGTTGCCGAGGAGTTGAATGGCTTTGGGCACAAAGAAGGCTTTATTCTTGGGGCAGCCATAATAACACTGCATGAGATATTAGTGGCAGGAGCAAGGAGATGAAATCATGGATACGTAAATGTATTTCTTTTAACGTGAATGAAATACAATCTGTCAGCATATGGTTAAGGGAATATACGTTGGGCGTGGAGGAAAAGAGCAGTCTAATCTGGTCAGCTGGTTTGAGTCTGAGCATCTGAGCGTCAGTGCCTTCCGTCCTGTAAGTATTGTCTGTCCTCATTGAGCTTCCTTCAGATGTAGGACGGCTCACCTCATGCCATTTTTCTCCCTCAGGGTGTCCGCAATGTTGCCAGTGTGTGCCTGCAGATTGGCTACCCAACTGTCGCCTCTGTGCCCCATTCGATCATCAATGGGTACAAGCGGGTCTTGGCTTTGTCTGTGGAGACTGAGTACAGCTTCCCACTGGCTGAAAAGGTAAAACTCCCACGAGGACCACAGTGGGTAGGCCCACTGACTAGTTTTTTTTGGTTAAGATCCCGTTTTATATTGTGGATACTGGGAGGTGGGTGTTGGGAATGGGTGTGAGCTGCCGGGGGCACACTGATCCTCCAGAGCTCTGCAGATTGTGGGTAGTAGCGGGGAAGGTGGTATGGCTGAATGATTTTGACCACTAACTTCTCCCCTTGGCTTTATTCAGGTCAAGGCTTTCTTGGCTGATCCATCTGCATTTGTGGCTGCTGCCCCTGTGGCTGCCGCCACCACTGCTGCTGCTCCTGCTGCTTCGGCCCCGGCCAAGCAAGAAGCAAAGGAGGAATCGGAAGAGTCGGACGAGGACATGGGATTTGGTCTCTTTGACTAGTCACCAAAAAGCAACCAAAGCAGCCAGCTTAATTTGTGAAACAAGGAAATAAAAAGGCTTAGTTCTCTGAGACGCCTGGATGCCTAATTTTGCACATCTTAAGATGAATGATGCTGGTTGATCTTAGCATCTCACTTATTGCTGTAGATCAACTTTCTCGGTCCTTTAATTATACCAGGATTCTTGTACGGCTGGCCATCAGAACTGGTTTGGGTTCCTCATCTAAGTAAGTTAGATAAGCGGCCTGGGGGTGAAATGGTGTGTGTGTGAAACGAAAGGTTGCCAGTGGAAACCCAGGCTGAAAAGACCTGGCTGTCTCCCACCCTAGGGAACTAACTGCTGGGCAGCTTTGTCCTATATTTGAATTAACCAAGGTTTGGATCCTTGCTAGACATTCAAACATGAAAACATCACAAGTGACAAGACTGCAACACCTTTCCCCCTAGAGTTGTCCTTTATCCACTGGGCTGTTCTGCAGAAAAGTTCTTTAAAGGATGGGCATCCCATGAGAAGCGAGTGGCCAATATTAAGTTGTTTCACACACATGTACTGGGTCCTATTTTGGGGGGAAAGTCAGTCCAGAGTCCAAGAATCAATGGTACTCAGAGATGTGTGTGGGAAATGAAGTGGGGAGTCCACACTAGAAGTAGGCATTGGCCCTGAAATTTGAGCAGCTTGCCCTGAAGCTTTTCCCTGGACTTGGCTTGAGTGTATATTTTCAAAGGCAGGTCCTCTCAGTTCCTGCACCCTTACTGCATTGCCTTACCCCCGGGGTCCACTGCACAGTTGATTCTGACTGCAAACCCACAGGGTGGTAGAACTAGGTTTCCTAGACTAGAAAGCCTCTTGCAACTCGGCAGGTAATTTTCAAATTGCTGACCTTAGGGTTTAAAGCAGTGGTTCTCAACCTTCCTAATGCCGTGACCTTTTAATACAGTTGTGACCCCCTACCATAAAATTTTCATTGCTACTTCACAACTAATAATGAATTAGGTGACCCCTGTGAATGGGTCGTTCCACCCCCAAAGGGGTCGAGACCCACAAGTTGATCTTTAGTTGCCCCTGCCACCAGAATTCCCTTGAAGGGCAGAATCCAAGCCAAACTCAGTTTATAGGATTGGGTAGAATTGCCAGGTGGGTTTTTGATACTGTAACTATGGGAATAGAAAGCCTCTGGGGGTTTCTAACTGCTGACCTTGTAGTTAGCAGCCTAACAACCTGTAACCACTTAGCTACCAGGGCACCTCCCTCCCTGAAGATAGGCTGTCTTCATTAGGAAGCACATTAAGGGATGGGCCACTTGGCCAAAGTGGTTCACAAGTGCCACAAAAGATACAATTGTCCAAAAGTTGACACAATTGTCCAAAAGTTGCTTGATACCTTTAGTTACATAGTAACCCTGTGTACCCATAAGGAGCTGCTGCCTGGCCCTGTGCCATGCGCCCAATCCTTTGAGTCCACTGTTGCCACTGTTATCAATCTTCTCCTTGAGGCTTGCTTCTGAGCGGCATTCTGGACATGCTGCCCCTAAGATTTGCCCGGTTTTTGGATTGCCCATGGTCCATCCGACATCCTTCAACAACTTAATTCCAGAGGGTACAGCCTTGAAAACCCTGTGGGGCAGGTTTGCTTTGCACACCGGCGGTGACGCCAGGAGTCGGGCAAGCCATTCCCCACAGACGTCTCGAGCCCGAGTGGTTGACAGTCTCCCTTTGGCCAGTCGGGTCCCTAGCGCAGCCGGATGCATTCACTCGGGGAGAGCC